ATGAAAAGGTTTGGAATAAGATGAATAGAACGGCGTGTGGTGTGATTAGGTCTTGCCTTACCCAAGACCTTAAATATGATGTGATGAATGAAACTTCGGCAAAGAAGATTTGGGAGGTCCTAGAGGGCAAATATTTGACGAAGAGCATCGAAAATCGTTTGCATTTGAAGAGGAGGCTTTATCGCTTCCAATTGAAGAAGGGGACATCCATTAGTGATCACATGAACCACTACACGAAGCTACTTGCAGATTTGGCGAATGTAGATGTCAAGGTTGAAGACGAGGACAAGGCATTGTTGTTATTGAGTTCCTTGCCCGACGAGGAATATGAGACCTTCGTCCTCACTCTTATTAATGGAAAGGCATCACTTTCGTATAGTGAGGTCACCGCAGCCCTTGTGAATTATCAACTTCGAAAGAAGGACAAGGAGACTTCCATCGAGCCGGTTGCTGGTGCATTGGTTGCAAGAGCTAGAAGTCCAAACCGTGGAAGAAGGTCGCAGTCTAGAGTGGGGCATCCTGCAGTTGGTAGGAATCAGTGTGCCTTTTGTAGAGAGGATGGACATTGGAAAGCCGAATGCCCAAAATTGCAAGCTGTGAAGAATAAAGGGAAAGCTATTCAAGCTTCAGAGGTGAATATTGCCAAGGCTAGTGGCGATGTTTCAGATTCAGATTCAGATTCTTCGGGCTATTCGTGCCCAGCTCTTCCGTCAGTTGATGTTGCCGACTCCACCGAGTGGATGTTGGATTCTGGTGCTACTTACCACATATGCCCTAGAAGGGATTGGTTCTCCAGCTTTCAGGAGTTGGAAAGAGGGGATGCTGTTCTCATGGGTAATGATCACAGATGCCCTATTGGTGGTATTGGTACCGTTCGGATTCGGATGAGTGACGGGATGATCCGGGAGTTGGCTGATGTGAGGTTCGTTCCTCAACTGAGGAAGAACATCATTTCACTTGGGGTATTGGAGGCATCAGGCTATAGGGTGATCTTGGCGGATTCTCGCTTGAAGGTCACATCGGGGTCCATAATTGTGATGAAGGGAGTCAGGCGGAGTAACTTGTATTATCTACTTGGGAGCACGGTAGTTGATAGGGCGCTGACTACTTCTATGGCTAGACTGTGGCATTGTTTGGTGCTGGGATATATTGTTGGTTATACCGTGCACAGATTGTTGAGGAGTGCTATGACCTGCAGATTGAAGTCCTGTGAGCACATTGGTATGAGCAAGAAGACCGAGGTGGAGTTCAGCACTTCTATCCATCGATCGAGAGGTCTTATTGGAGGTGTTCAGTCAGGCATTTGGGGGCTTTCCGAGGAGGCATCATCGGGAGGTAATCGTTATTTTGTTTCCTATGTTGGGGATTGTACTAGGCATATTTGGGTTGCAACCAAGTCCCGTTGGTATAAAGACCTAGTAGTCCGCAACAGTTGGAGGAGGTGTATGGGCAGAAAGGTTACCTCTGTTACAGAGTTTTAACTCATTCTGAGTTCTTAAACTCGTTAAGAGTTCTTAATTAGCTTGCAACGCAAGTTAATCACATCAAACCAGACATTCGGTTTTCAACAACTCTTGTCAGAGTTTTCAACTCGTTCTGAGTTCTTTATACTCGTCAAGAGTTCTAAACCGAATTCATCAAGCAATTCAATCGGTTTCGTGAGATAGGACGGTCGGATCGTCAACGGAGAGCAAGTTCGACGCGATCAATCGAAGGAGGCACTCCACCGCTACCAAGAAGAACCCAGTTTTAAACAAAGGGGAGAATCAAATTCATTCTCCTCTCTTTTGTAATCGGAATCCAAATTGTAATCGATTTTGAGAGAATACAAGTCAAATTTTCTTTCATTGTCTTTTTACTGCAAATTTCCAACAACCAATTGATCAGGTCAGAGGGATATCGCAGCGGGTGGAGGTTGATGCTACTCCACATTGGGTGGGGATTTCTCCACGTACTCCAGGTCATTCTGCATTGGTTGGGATTCCAGCTGAGGTGGCACAGCGTGAGTCATTTATTTATGGGTGCAGATGATGAGGTAGTTGATTTGGATGCAGCTGATGGATATGTTTTGGATACGGCCATTGTTACATCTCAGGTGGAGGTGTTCGGATCGCTTCAATTTGGGGTCGTTGATGATGCTATCAGCCGCAGGTTGGATTGAGGGCCTTTGGAGGCCCATATGGTGAACTACGTGAAGGCTTGATTCCTTGGGCAAGAGGATACGTAGGCAGTCTTTATGATGCAGCCGATTTGGTGAGCGACATCGACATTTGGGGAGAGTGTTCGCACTCCCATTTGGGTCTCAGCAAGTGAGGCATTTGGTGTAGTCGGTGTAGGCTCAGTTGTTTGGTGAGTAGACACAGTTGGTTTGGGGTTGAGTGTTCGCACTCCCGTTTGGATCTCGACGTGTTGTGATTGGAGTCCGTTGTCATGAGTCCGTTGCCATGGCATACTGGGTGCAACAGTTGAGGTATTGGTTTGATCGGTGTCGGCTCAGGTTTGGAAGAAACTTCGTCGAGGGGGAGATTTGAAGAGATAAGCTCAGGATTCAGATTGTCAGGGTGGCGGTCGACCGGCCCGGTCGACCGCATTCGTGCACAAGGCTTCCTGTGCGTCTGGAAGGAGATCGGTCGACCGGTGCGGTCGACCGACGGTTCTCTGGAGTTTGGGTTTTCTACTGAGAGCTGGTCGGTCGACCGGGCCGGTCGACCGGAATTGATCGCGGTCGACCGGTCCGGTCGACCGACGCTGTTTTGGACTGGGCTGCCTGTTTTCAGACCCGCTTCGTTTTGGGTTTGTATAAATACCCTTTGGGTGTTTTTTAGGGTTAAGAGCAAGGACGAATTTGAGCAGATTGAGAGAGTTTTCTTTGGGCTTCTATTCTAGGAGCAATTGGAGAGATTGAGAGTTGATTGTTGAGGGTTTATGAGAGATTTGTAACCCTAGTTTGTTCCTCTTGATTTCTAATAGTGAAAACTCCCCCCTCCTTGCCCCGTGGACGTAGGCATCTTGCCGAACCACGTAAAACTGGTGTTTGATTGTTTGTGCTATTGATTTTGGTTGGTTGTTTATTTTTCTCGGCGATTGTTTTGGTTGCTCAAGGCACAACACAGCCCACGTGCCTAATTCCAGTTTGCCAACGTTCTATAGAGAATAAAGTTTAAATCAATTTTCAATTAAACGGAAGTCACGATGTATTTGAACTTATAAGCGGTAGAACTCGAACATTTGATTTTGAGCGACACGAGAGAACCACAGAAATCATTGGTTTGGATGCGATTGGACTTGTGTAATCAAAATTTCACTCTCGAATCTGATTTAGGAGTGACTTACGAGTTTTGTCCTTTTCCCCTCTCGGCCCTACATATATATTACACAACCTTCAAGAAACTAACAAAGTGAGAAAGATCAAGAGTTAGAAAAACGTAGCTGGTGATGTTTGAGATACGTAAATGAGTTCAGCATAAAACAAGCTAATTATGAGATATTGAGATATTTTGTTCTTGGTGCTTAAAACAGTGTATCGAATGTGGGAAATTAATCATAACTGAGCATCTCCAACAGCTTCCCCATTTCTCACTTTTGGAGAATTTAATTAGGTTTTTGGCCCAACAGATTCCCCATCTCATTCCCCAAAATAGGGATGGAGGAGAAAAAATGGGGAAGCTTCCCCAAATCTGCAGCATTCTCCAAATTTTTGGAGGAAAAAATTGATTCTTCAAAATGGGGAAGCTGTTGGAGTTGGTGTAAAAATTAGTTGGAGAATATGACTTTTGCTTCCCCATTTTGAAGAAAATTTTGAAGAAGCTGTTGAAGATGCTCTGAGTTTTGAACAAAACAAGCCGAAGATGACATCCTTTATTACGTATGTACATATGTGAGTTTCCACATGCCCTTTGACTTCTGCCGGAAAAAACTTCCTAGAAACTTTTAAGTTAATCAATAGGTGAAATTTAAGAGAAACCCTCTTAACATTAAAGGATTGTCAAATGCCCCCCGTAATTTCGAAAATACCTAAAAACTCTCTTTAAGCATACAAAGTATTACAAAACTGCTTTGAGATTTTATTAGAAGATTCTCTTTATGTTGACATTTTATCAGAACATCGCAAAGGGTTAATGAAGATGGGTTAAAGAGAATGATTAATGTACTTAGACCATTTGATAATCCGAATGACTAAATTATTAATCCGTTAAATAAGTTTTATTTTAGCCATTGTGATCAGTTTTAGTGTTTGGGAATAACAATGATTTTGACTATTTTCTTTATAATTAGAAGGGTTAACTCTTAATCCTTCTAAATATGAGTATTAGTAAACCCCTCATTTTGAGGGGTTAACTCATTTTAATCCCTCTAGAAGAGTTAGCTTAACCCTTCTATATTTTTTATGTTTGCCAAATTATGAAGGGTTAACTCACTTTAACCATTGTATAGATTTTTTTGTGTTTGACGGGTTAATAAGGGGTTAAGTCACCTTAACCCCTCACTTAACTCTTTGCCAAACGGTACCTAAAGTTAT